GGGGCGAGAACCCCCGGCAGCGCTGACCCCGCGGCGTGAACACGCCCCTCTTGGCGGAAATCTCTTGGCTAAACCCCGAAAACGCTCGCTCAGCCCAATTTTGTCTTGCCCTTTGCAAACTGAATGCCGGCAGCCAAGTGCCCCCGGCTGGGCCGGCCGGGAAAGCGAGAGGTGATGCGGGGAGTGTGTAAAACACGCAGCCTTGGAAAAGCCAAACGAACGAAAAAGCCTGCAGATCGGTCAAAGCTTTTCAGAACGATGGGTTGTGAGTGTGAGTGACACGCCAACAGCCGTCCTGCGGTCACTGTTTTACACACTCACCTCTATCGTCCAGGTTAAAACAGTCTTTAAGAAGCGATTAAGTCCCAAGTGGCACGGTATTAAATGCCAAACTTCCAAACAAGTCAATATAAGGTGAAATCCCAGGCTTCTAGTAAAGCCATCGATTTACGGGTCGTTACACACAAAAAAAGGGTCCCTCACTTTGTGACCCCCGATACAACTTTTCTTGCACGACTGACGGGCGGCAGAAGCAGCGTTTGTCCGCTGGCGGAGCGGTGGCTGTGCTTGTGAACCTGTTGGGTCTTCTTGCCAGGTAACCTCTACAGCCGGCACATCCAGATCGACGGAGAGACCTTGGCTATCCAAGTGCAAGATACTCCGGGAGTTCAGGTGAGCTGGACACTGCCACCTTGTTCACCAAGGCGGCTCTAAATCTGCGTGTGTCCCTCTGCGCAGCATCTCGCGATGGCCCATTTCTAGGTCTGACGCTCTTTGTGGGGGAGGCGGGAACTTCTACCACCAGTGGAGCCAGATGTGTTGCGTACCTGCGGTAGGCTGGTAGTAAAAGAAAACAAATCACTATTTTGATGAATCATTTGTAGATGGGAGGCTCTTTACTTTGGGATGGCTGGATTACTTTAGTGTCTTGTCCCTGTACGCTGGGAAAAGACACAAAACCAGAAACGGTTCTGCGCAAATAAGGTGCCTGCGGAAGCAAAATGTCAGGACCGCTGCCCCAGCGAGCTTCATAGGCGTGTATGGTGGAAAGCGAAGTCAGCTGTACGGTGGCTGTGCTCGTTAGCGTGTCACAGGCTGAAGTTTTGAATGTATAGACCTGAGTAATGCTGGATTGTTGCCGTTTTGAACTGGGCAACGCTCCAGGTCTAAATGCTTCCAGCTCCTATCTTTGCTTCCCCAGACTTACTGTCTAGCCAGTTAATTTCCCATTCTGTGGAACTACAAAGTCTTTCTCTGCATGCAGAACTACTCAGGTCAATTTTCCATTTGAGTATAGCAAACTCCAGTGTTAAATTCCAGCTTTTTGCAGCTGAATCAACATGCGTTTATTCGCCACGCTCAGATTAAGTTTGTCCTTACACTGTGAAATGAAAATATGTGTGTCTGAAGCTGCTAAATGCTGTTTGGCTTTGCAGGCTCTTAAAGGCAGGTTGCTTTAATCTTTTAAGACTCCAGCTCTCTAATTTGAGACCGTTCGTTTTTCAGATTCACGAACACAACCTGGATTGTAACGAGCAGCTGAACAGATGCATTCGCTGGGCAGACGCCCTGGTGATTGTCTTCTCCGTCACAGACTATAAGAGCTACGAACTACTCAGCCACCTTTACCATCACGTTCGACAGCTGCACCCAGGAAACGCGGTCCCTGTTGTCATCATAGCCAACAAAGCCGATCTCTTGCATATCAAAGAGGTGGAGCCTCAGCATGGACTTCAGCTGGCCAACATGCTGGGCTGTACTTTCTACGAAGTATCTGTCAGTGAAAACTACAACGATATCTTCAACGCCTTCCATATCCTCTGTAAAGAAGTCAGCAAACAGCAAACGGCCAGCACCCCTGAGAGGAGGAGAACCTCTCTTATTCCTCGTCCCAAATCGCCCAACATGCAGGATCTGAAGAGGAGGTTTAAGCAAGCTTTGTCTGCCAAAGTGAGGACCGTCACTTCTGTTTGACGGCAGAGCTGTCTGTCTTCCCAGTGTTTAGCTGGGATGGAAACCCCGGGGTGTTTCAAGGCATGGTGAAAGGGATGGTTCAGGTAGCCTTTTGCACGGCTGTAGAAACAAGCAGTTGCTTTAAAAAAAACCCACCAAAACAAAACAACAATGGCAGATTGGCAAAGAAGGAAAAAAGCCCCAAAACTCTCGAAATGGTTCTAGGATGTGACTTGTAGAACAAGTGTTTTCATTTGGAAAAGGAACTTCCCAGTAAATGAAACAAGCCTTAGTTTGCCTCTTCTCCAATGGGGCAGATCTGATTTCACGCTTGTGCAGAAACCACCTTTTAGCTGTAACTCAACTTCTTGTACTTGAGCAGGAAAACGCCCTGAACTGCAGTTCACTGTCCAGAAGTAACCACTTGAGTCTTGTTTTCCCTTGGATGAAGGACAGCATGATGTATCTGTTTAATTTTATTGCACAGTAGGACTGTTTATTTCCCATGTATTTCAAAACAAATAAGCAAACATGAAATCATCCTGTAAAAAATAAGCGGACAAGACTGAGTATCAAGACTGTCAACAATGGTCTTTTTTTTTTTTTATTAGCTATGTTCTTGCTGACAACTTGTCCACAGTCCTTGTGTGTGAAACTTGTCCACAGGGTGTAAACTTACCTAACTACAAATAACTTCTGGGTTTTTTTTTTTACTGTCTGAAAAAAATAACTGTCCAGACTAAATGATCCAACATGGAGCTTTTGATTGTGTGGAATTGGAGTGACAGTCCCTTACAGCTGCCAGTGTAAGACTCTTCTGTGCCTGCTGTGCAGAAAATGGGGCTGTGATTCACAGCTGGCTCTAGGCAATGAAGCTGGTGGTTTGTCCTGAGCTGAGCCAGTCCCTGTTCATCCTCAAACACACGTGACAAACTTATACATATAATTTGGTTGTGTTTTTTTTTCTTTTCACATTGAGCCAATGGAGTTCACAGGCTGAAGGCCTTACACACATGCACTTTAAAAAGCCAGTTGTGCTTTTGTTTAAACTGTAACTTATTTATTTTCTGTACAGTTACTCCTCATTGGAGTGGACTTTTCATTCTTACTGCCTGGTTCAACATTAAATTTTTGAATTGCATGTTTTCTTGTGTGCTCTTTGTGGGTGAGACAAAGTACTGGTGCTCTCAAGGTCGTTAACATGCATTGCAGAAGCGGCCAGAAGGTGTTTCCTGCCTAAGCAGTGGCTTTATTAGCATAAACCACAGGGGGGGGAGCTCTCACAACTGCCTTTTAAGAAATTCTTTTGGGAGAGGAACCGAATAAGGCAGAGACCTTTCAAATTAAAATGGTATTCTTTATCTTCCCTTTGTCAAAAAACCCTGTAAGAAAAGAATGGTGTGAGGTAGGTCAGGGTCTAGAAGAATGCCTAAAAAAGTGACTTCCAGTTTCTTCTTTAAAATAAAAGGCAGCCTTATAGGATGAGCTATATGACATTGAAGAACTTGAGCAAATTACTACAAGTCTTCAATCACTTTATCCATGCTTATGGCTTGCACAGGCTCGCCTGGTGAGCATGCAGCAGTAATACCTGGTGTAGGACACGGTCCTGCTGCTGATCATCTTTTTGACCATGAGCTGCTAGCTAAATGACTTAGGATGAGACTTGGGAAGAAAACTGAGCTTGGGCATCCAGTCTGGGCTTATTGCCAAATACTGCTCAGCTTATTAATATAGTAGTAAACCTATTTGCCAAGGGTGGCCTTGTGTTTTCTCTTCCTCATACCGTTAGTATTGCATAGTATCACAGGCAGAGGGCTTAAAGACTCCTTGCACTTGCCCAAGCAGTCTTTTCTGTGCTGTTCCTGCTCACATGGCAGGAGACCTCATCCCCCTGGCCTTTTCCCTGAGCACAGGCTGTGTAGCTACTAAAGCTACTTACTTACACAACTAAGAAGCTACTGATTACACTAGGGTCACTGAAAAGGCTCCACTCCAGTCTTGGTCTAGAAGAGCAACACTCTTGTGACCATCTCCTTTCATGTCTTCAGCTACCGAGTATGGGGTGGTGGCTGAGTCCCCACATCCATCGCCCCAGCTGCGGACTTGCTGGCTGAAAAGATTCCTCCGAGGTATGTGTGTGTCGGGGGAGGATGACGACTTGGAAAAATGGTCTCGGCCTCAGTAAGAGGAGCTGCTTGACCCATAGGAAGTGCAAAAGCACCAGTGTCTGCTTAAATTCACCCCCTTCTCATTATCCCATATAATATGTCCTCAGATGGCCAAGTCTGAGACCTCAGAGCATCCGAGTAAAGGCTGGTGAGGGAGAGAAGACCACAACTGCCAGCCTCCATCATCTCAGGAAAGTGGCAGCATCCCAGAGGTGTGAGTACCGGAACTCAGGGATGCAGCACAGCCTTGCTGCTACCAGCAGAGTGTGGAAACCCCTCTAGGACACCTGAGACAGAAGGTCTAGGTTCTCAGGGGCAACACATAGTGCAGAAGAAAAAGGACTCTCAGGGATACGCAGTCCTGGTGTGAGCAGCCCTGTGTGCTAGGAGAGAAGAAAAGGGATGAGGTTTGGCATTGTAAAAGCATTGCTTTATTGATTATAGAATTTACAAACCATCCATACTCTGAGATTAAACAGTGCAGAAGGACAAAAAAGTTACCAAGGGACCGGCTATTTGCTTTCCAGTTGCTCAGTTTAAACTGTTGAGCTTTTAACACTGCGATCTCGTAATAGTTCTCATTTTTTATAGCACAAAGTTCCATTCTGTAGTCATTCTTATAAATCTCTGTTCCATAAAGGAAACATTGTCCATGCTTTATAATCGGTCCATTGTTTCCTCCCAGCCACTCAAAAGTGAATTTAAACCCAAATGCACCCCTTTCTGAAGACCATTCTAAACATTTAAGAGAACTCAGGCTAGCTAGTGAACAAAGGTTAAAAAGCTACTTCCCATTTAACCTATTCCTCTGGCATAATAAGGAATGCTATGATGGAGTGAATGTCACTTATAATTTCACATTCTGATCTCAGTGTAAGCCGTGGTTTTAGCATCCCTGGGATGATGCAGCTTCAGAGCACCATTTTACACTGCGATTCGGAAGGTTCGGTGCGGTGCACGGTCACCATCGCTACTGGCTGCTGCTTTTTTATCACAGATTGCATCCAAGTTTTATGTGGAAAAATTACATAACTGGATTCGATAGCGGCTCTTTCATTATCATAAATTAAGAATAAAAGCTGTTCTCTAATCACGCTGTCCAGAAAACTAGCTCAAGAATGAATCTGTCACTGTGTCCCTCTTGAAAATGGGATCGTGCTTTTTTTCCCCCTCTTTTTCTTTTTTAAATGCATGCGAGAGGAAGATTCTTCCAGGGTTATCATCAAGCCATCACAGTCCATATGTCCTCCTGCGTAAACCTAGAGAGAAGTGTGCCATCAGAAACACTCTTCTCTCCCAGGACTGTGCGTGGAGAAACTAGAGCAGGAAACGGGAAGCTGAGAGAGAAGCAACCACGTAACCCAGCCCCAGAGCCTGGCTCTCTGCTTCTCTGCCTCTGCCAGTCCCGCTGGGAGAGCATCCCCGGACCGGGAGCTGCTCCGCCGGCTAAAGCAGGGCTGGGGCAAGGGTTGAAGGAAGAGCAGAGGCAGTCAGTGCTGTAGAAGGCACACGCTTTGCAGGGTAACATGACCGAGAGGGTGGATTTTGTTAGCCTTTCACTCCCTCAGCAGCATTTCCCACCAGAATCGACCCCAGCGAAATGCTCAGAAATAGAGGGAAAGTTCTGCTCGGGGAGTGAAAATTCAGCATCACCTGGTCCTCAGCTGGAAATTTTCTAGGGAATTATTAACCTTGCCGCGCAGAGCGGAGCTGGGGTGATCCGGCACTGCACAGTGTTACTGTTGAAGAGGGGGGGGAATTGTTGCTGGACAACCAGACCATCTTGAAGAGCTACCAGTGAGCTGCACATGTTCCCTTGCAGCCAGATTCCCAGCTGGTTCCACCCGTTTCAGCTGGAGCCATAACTGCAGCTGGGGACACGGCATCTTTTGGGAGGAGTGACAAACCAGGGATTTGATGTTTCCAGCCGAGGCTCGTCTTCTCCACAGATCCTCCCTCCTCAGATACCGGTGTCGGGCTGGGGACGGTCTGTGGCAAACAACAACTCCACAGCACTATGCGGTGTCAGGAGTGCCGAGGAGAGCACGATTACCTGGAAGAAGGGGGAGAAGAAACCCCAAGTCAAAAGGAAGGGGACTGAGGCTGATCACAGCACTCGGGAGCTGTGGATATGAGCTGTTCGTTTCACCCAGCACTCGGCAGGCTGCCTGTTACTGGTGTGTACTGACAGGGCAACACAACTTGCCCAGTGAAACTGTCTGCTCCCTAATAACTGTACTTCAATCACTATAAGGAACATAATGACTGGTAGCATTGTACTCTTAATGAATGTGTGCCTTGACTCATTTCTACCCACATCTTACCCGGTGATTTGTTGAGACTGCCATTGTGTTTACTGCCAGGCACCAGCTGACGAAGCAGGGGTTCCCTCTCCTACAGCACAGTTTTGAGTGACGGCTGTTTCCCCGCTGCGGAAGGTAAGGTGAGCAGTGCAGAAGTGCTGCCGGCCTGCTGCCGGGAGCTACAGTCCCTAGGCAGAAACGCGCCTTCGGACCAGGCACGGGCCGCTCTGCACATCAGGACCAAGGCTCAACCTTGAGCACTGTCAGGGTGCTATGTTTGGGCAAGTTTTTAATCCAAGACAGGTCTGATGTACGAAACCATCGCCCCCTACAACCATAATACACACATCTTTGATGCAGGTATGTTTTTCTGAAGTGAAAACATGCAGGTGTCTAGCGTGAATATCAGAAGGATATTGACCACTTGGAGTGAGTCCAGAGGAGGCCACGAAGATGCTCAGAGGGCTGGAGCACCTCTGCTATGATGAAAGGCTGCAAGAATTGGGCTTGTTCAGCCTGGAGAAAAGGAGGCCCCGAGGAGACCTCATTGCAGCTTTCCAGTATCCGAAGGGGGGCTACAAGGGTACTGGGAGAGGACTTTTTACAAAGGTCTGTAGTGACAGGACAAGGGGTAACGGGTTTAAATTGAAAGTGGGGAGGTTTAGATTAGATATCAGGAAGAAATTCTTTACAGAGAGGGTGGTGAGGCACTGGAACAGGTTGCCCAGAGACGTTGTGGATGCCCCATCCCGGGATGTCTTCACAGCCAGGCTGGATGAGGCTTTGAGCAACCTGGTCTAGTGGAAGGGGTCCCTGCCCATGGCAGGGGGGGTGGAACTAGATGGTCTTTAAGGGCCCTTTCCACCCAAACCATTCTGTGATTCTATGAATGCTCCTGCTGCGTGGAGCTAACGCAGGGTCAAAGTTGTAGGACGCTGCTCTTAGAAAGCCCCAAGTTCAGTAGCGTCCGTAGGGTCACAGCAGATGGTGGGGGCAGATTTATCTTACTAGCCCACCTGAACATGTATTTGCTTCTTCAGTGCAAAATCTGAGGAGAGGAAGCACAAGCACCAACACTGGAGTACGTCTGTGCGTCTGTTTCCTGCACAACCGCTTGTGCTCCTCGTCGCACGGCTTAAATGTGCAGTGCTGCCGCATCTCAACTCCTGTTGTTGTTCTTTCTTTCATCTTTTCACTTCAAATAATGAAACGAATCTGGAGTTAAGTTACTACAGATCCCTTCTGTAATGATGATAGTCTCCCCCTCACTTCTCCCTTTCCCTTGTCCTCCCACACAATCCCCAGCAAACTGACACTGATTATCTCTTCTTCCTATGGGTGTAAAACTCCCTCTAATTTGCAGATGTCAAAGGCTGACACTGTCTTACTTATGTTACGTGAGAATCAGACTACAGCACAGTGTGTGCTCGTCTTGTTATCATGCAGCTTAATTCTGAAAAACAAGAGGGGACACGTTACCCAAGTTTTCTGGGTGTATAAGCCAAACATCAACAATAGCCACTGCCAGATAAAAGCAATTTCTTCTTGGAGTCCCACCACTGAACCCTGGGGGGATTTGTGCAACTAATAGCAAGCCCAGAGAGAAAAATGAGAGCTGCAACTTCACCATCTGAGAAGAGATGCCGCAAAATAGAGAGCGACTTCCCTCCTTTCCCCCCAGGATCTCCGAGGGCTCACTGAGGGGGATAAATGTGACTATTTTTTCCTGCATTTGTGCACAGAAGGGAGGGAATTGCCCAGATAAGTCAAGTCCATCTCTTCTCCAGGCAGGTCTCCTCAGGACAAAGGATCTCCTCTGCAGACCTCCCGGTTCAGTGCAGCGCGCCTCCCTGATGCTTCCCCTGAAGGGCTACCGCTCCTGATGGCAGCCGAGGTGGAGGAGCCAGGTTTATCCACCTGCAAGCCTCAGCCACAGCCACACAGATGGCTCTGCAATTTGGGAGGGTGAAACATCCACTCATGCTCCTTCCCTTTTTTAAGTCTCCTGATTAAAGTGGAAAAAGCAGGTAATTGCTTTCTCCGAAAGCAGGGTACTTCTCACTAGGCTAGGGGAGCTATTCACCGCCATCCCAAACCAAACGATGCGTAGGAAACGCCGTATTCCTTTGTGCTCCCCTGTGAGATATAAATTTGACATTCATATTCAGATGCAGAGCAGTTCTGTGGATGGAAACATGTGTCTCCTACTCCACATTTAAATGTCATTTGCCTCAATTCCAAACAACTGCTGAAGTAATCAGTGCGTCCTGTCAGTTACTTTCCTCAATTCTTTATTTTTGCACCCACACGTCTCTCCATTTGTCCAAGAGCCAACAATTAATATAAATGTCAGTGCTTTTTTTGACTGGAAGAGACTTGGGAGGCCAGCGTTCCCCTGATGCCTGGACACCACAAAAATAGCTCTGTTAAATGCTGGCTCCAGTTAGACAAATGCCTGGCTTTTTGAAAAGAGAATAATCCCAAACAGGTGGCACATATTCACAGCTACAGTGCAGAAATCCAGGTAAATCCAACAAACTCATACACTTTTTATATATGAGACACTTTCACAACTGCTTCTTTTCTTCTTTCTCTTCCTCCTCCCGCCTCTCCCCTCCCCGAGTCCTTTCACCTCTAACACAACACATTTGGACAAAGGGCAAGATGCAGTAAAAGCTTAAAATTCTTTCGGAATCTGCCTCAGAGGGTGACCTGCTGCTGGGGTTAAGCCAAAGCAAAGCAACACCAGATCCCGTGTCACCACTGTCAAGCTTCAAGCCCCTGCAGAAAGCCACTCAACAGCCTCCCTGCATAGTTCTCAACCAACTCACGTGTTAACCCTCTGCTTATCTTTCAGGGCGCATTAATACATTTCGGGTGTGGATTAACTTGTCCATCAGTGTGTCACAACTCCATCCCCCTTCCAGACGGGAAAGAATTTTATTTGCGGTTTTGAGGAGATTAGCAATAGGTTAATTGGGGAGAAACATGTTATCAGATCCAAAAACCATCGCTCAAAACGGCACTCCGTCTTACAAAACGCTGTGCGAGACTGCCTCGCCAAGACAGCGAACACGGGGGAAACGCGTCACACTTCCACGCCTTGGTTGGCTCCATTTAGCTAACCCTTTCTCACTAATCAAAACTGCATTCCATAGGAATTGAAAACAAGATGTTTACGAGCCACCCTGGAAACCAGTCTCGTGTTTACGATGCAGCTGGTCACACAGCACTTCCTGGCAGTTGGTAGAGCACCCTGCTTCACGCTACTTAAGGCATGTAGTAGCGGTCAGGTACCTATCAGAGATACCTGGCCTGGACCAGAAATGGGTCTGGCTGTATCCAGGCTAATTTATCTTGCTCCTCAGCAATGCCAACTGACTCGTCTGCAGGATCACCACCCATACATCACTAGATGGTACCCAGACCCTTGGCAGCTCCTTCCGAGCATCCCTGCGCTACGTCCTGTAGATGCACTGCCAAGGAGCCTGCTGCCTTTTGGACAGCAAATGTGTCTGCTTATAAAGAACACCAAGAAATTAATCTTTTGAGACATGATGAAAGCTCCATCAGAATAATGCCAGTCTGTTCTGCACTCTCCAACCCGAGTGCAAACTTTCATTGCTGACTAACACATAACAAATAGACCCTTGGTGCCTGAGCACTTGCTGCCTACAGATGTTTCACAGTGAAATCCTAACGCCATTCCTGTCCATGTGGCTGTGGCTTTGTGTAGGTTTGGTACCAGTGCTACAGGGAGCATCATCTGATGAATTTTCTTGTCCTTTGTTCAGATAGGGACTGTACATTTAGAGCCGTTTTTACCTGAGTACCCGGTTTGCGTGTTGCTACCAGATCCTTCACCATTTTGACCTCGGAGACTGTCACTCCGCCAACCATAAAGATGATCAGAAGAGGATGATCACCAGGGTGAGGGCGATTCACCTGGAAAATGAAGGAAAGCATTATTTGTGGTGGCTCGGTCCAACTCCAAACCTATGGACTAGCCATGATCAGCTCCTTGAGCTGCTGGAGGATGACTAATGAGGAAGCTCAGAAAGAAATATTCATGGAATGCTGGTTTCTGTAGCAGCTGAGAGGGAAATCAGTGGGCATGACGCCCAGTTAAAACTAATGAACTGCTTCCAGGGAAATGGAGTATTCATGGCTTTCACTGAAACCTAGAGGAGTTTCTCATGAGGTCTGAGGGCTTCTCCCTCCATTCCTTCTTCATTCCTTTCCTCCTTTTCCCAGAGTGGGAGGAGACTACTTGGGTGGATGCACAGCTGGGATACACGTACGCATGGGGCTTTAAGGAATAAGGGGTAAATTACGAGGTCAGCAACGGAAAGCATCCTAAGTAATGTGTTTTCACCAGTCCAGCAACTAATCCTTTACGATTCATCCAACGAAAATACATCAGGTTCATTGTAGTATACAATCAGTTTCTGGCTTGTTTCACCTCACAGTTTTCAATACTTCCATGACCGGCTTGTAACTAATACAGAGAAACATTAGATCAAACAAAATACTTGTTTTATTTTTCCCCACTTATCATTAAAATGGAACAAACATTCTACTTCAGATAAGACTTTATAAAACTGTGTTTTAATTTTAAACATGGTGATGCTGTACATCAGTTTCCTCTTAACCACTCCTAGAAGCCTGAGCACTTTGCTGTTTCCTAGCAAACTCTTTCATTCTTGGTAAAACACACTTCCCTGACGATGCCTTGCTCCAGTCTTTGGGAGCAATGTCAATGGAGCCCATCCAATTGCTCTTGTCACACCACCTTGGAGTATGAAACACTCCAAATGTTTGGCTCTGAAAAGTGACAGTGAGAACAGCTTAATTCGCTCCTTCTGAGACTCTTCCACAAGTGGAGGTTGTCGACAGCGTTCACTCGGCAGAACGCAAGCGGCCATCACCCCCTGTTTGGGCAGTGCACAGTTCCTCTGCTTTCACTGCCACGGCAGCTACCTTTGATCCGTGTCGCTCCAGATCCTGGGGGTGCAGCTCTTCCCTCCCTTGTTGTGGCTGCCCTGCATTTAGTCTTCGGGCAGCTTGTCACCCCGCAGTTCCACCAGGCTTTCTGACTGGCAGCCTTTGAGGCATGCACCGGGGATGTAGGGATGGCGTGCGCTCTTCCCGGGCTAGCTGGGCTTTGCTTACACAGGGCTCCCTGTTCAGTGCTGCTCCCCGGGCAGGGAGCTCTTAACTCCCAGGGAGTTTGAAACCAGGACAAAAAGCCTTAGATGAGCCGGGTGTTTGCGTACCGGGTGTTTATTCTCTTCATTGCCCCCACTTCTTCATCAAACTGATGGCACAGAATGTATTTATACGACAATTCAGCAGGGTGTCCCGCAATTCTGGTGTGATATTGAGTGGTTTTGCATTTACACCAACAGACCAATTAAATGGATACACCAGAGCTTACAAAGACTTTCTTTATGCATTTTCCCACATCAGACTCCTCACATTTTATTCTCTGCATATAACGTGGTGTCAGCCTTAAATGAAAACAAAAGACCATTCCTACTACGAACACCATGAGGAGTTTAAGTAAGACCTAAATATTTACTTAGAAAGCAGGTCAGATAGAGTTATTACTTGCTAAAATATTAGAGGGTATCATACCATAATTGCTGTAAACAGTGATACAAGCTTAAAGAAATAACTGCCGGCAAAGATGGTGAAGATAAAAGTTGACAAAATGATCTGCTACAGGACTTGAGGGTCACACAGGAATTAGTGTTTTATTCCTTTTCATGATCTTTGCTCTTGTTAAACCCCTCGTCTCAGCAAACAGCTCCATTCCATCTCACGAAGGTTCTGCATGACCCAAGATGTGTTCAAAGAGATCAAACCTCAGAAACTTGCTATTGAATAAAGCCTCTTTCCTACTATCTTTCCTAGTGACAACAAACTCATCATAAACACGCATGCATAACGTTGGACACACTGAAAGGACACCCAATATGAGGGCGTTAATCGGAAAACACAAGCTTTCGTGGCAATACTAAAGAGAAAAATCTTGACAAACCATTTCCTTTAGTCAAAATAAACCTAGATCCAAACACATGGTGCCTATACAAAACTTATTATTTCTCAGAAGACTAAAGTTCAAACCGCAAATTCCAGAAATGCATATTAAAAATACTATTAGGCATGCAAGCTCTAAATTAAACTAAAATTGCAGTGGAAAGGGCCTTGGAATCTGTAATTCTGTTATGCTATGCGCAAGTGTTTTGAAGGAGGACAATACTTTGGGTACAAAATATTTGGCTGTGTTAAGAATGCAAGTTTCTGCCAAGATTTTTTTGTTTGATAATACAACCACCCAAGGCTCTCTCTTTTGAAGGAACTGGCTGCGTGTAGCTAAACACAGCTCATTTCTGTGATACAGAAGAACTAAATGGACTGCAACAAAAGCAATGTGTATCTTCCGGGATCCTTCTAAAGTTCAGTTGTTCTGGGACATTTCTGAGGCCTCTGAATCTCATGCACTATGAAATCCGAATTTTGCAAAAATCCCCAAGTGAAATTCACTTTCAGTTCAAAACGCCATGCATAAAAAAAATGGGACAGTTACACTGGGCAATTAGAAAGATTAAGCAAGGAATAAGCAAAACCATTCTCATGGCAGATCACAAAACACAGCCTTTTCCTTTGACAGGCAAGTCAGCTGAAAGAACTTCCACTGCCCCAAGAGGGTTATTTCTGACAACCAGGACACCAGCACCAATGCATCTGGTATTTATGACCAATCAGAAACCATTCAATTTAGCCAGAATAACTGGAAAAATGAAAACACATCGATCACCAGAATCCAGGCTGCTGTGCAAGACACTTGGTATCAATGATACCAAGCTCAGATCATCATAAACGATGTGTGTGCTAGAGCAGCAGTCAAAAGAGGAATCCTTGTGGCAGGGGGGCCTTTTCCCTTCACCAAGCTTCAAAACAAACACATCCACCAGAGAAACAACTTCTGGATGAGAGGTATCTCATCTGTATACATGTCTGAGCCCATCATTAACCAAAGCATATTTATGTGAGTTGGTGTTATATTCAGGCATTGAGGAAGAAATAAAAATATAAGGAAGCTCATGAAACAATTACAGTGATGATGTTGCCACAAGTAGAGAAGATCCTCTTGTGTGAGAAATACAGGCTGGTCAGAAACCCATTCATGTAATAATTAAGCATTTGCCAACAAGCCAGGCTACAAACTAAATGAGCAAGCATGAACGCATTTGTGAGGAATGTGATGATGCCCAGGAAATATTCATCCTACATAATGTTCACTTGCTCATCTGTAATATATTCCTTACAGTAGGATATTTTTCTTACTAGTAGAGATGCAGGTGCTTATGGGTACATATTGCCTTAATATACATCATACTCTTACGGAATACTCTTCAGTGGAGCACTCTGGATAAGAGTAAGTGCAGTAAGAAGGAGCTGGAAGTAGAGCATGCTAGTTACTCTACACTTCACCTCTGTGGACATTCAGTGAACATTTAGAATAGGCTAATTTGTAAAGCAGAGTAAGCTCTTGTAGAAAGACTGTCTTAAAACATGCTAAGAGAATCCAAAAGGCAATTCCTGACCAATAGGCTTCCTTCCACCCCCACTGCAGGTTGAACCCCCCCAAGTTATAGAAAAGGCACTGAAGATGGAGCTTCTCTGATGACCTTCCTCCTCAGTGAGACCTGACTGTTCATAATTACTTCTCTCCTGTCTCAAGGCTGCTTGGTGTCCTTAAAACCCTTTGATGAGGTACCTTGTGGAATCCAGGTAGGTTACATGAACCAGCGCTTGTTTATCAATTTGCTTGTGGGTGTCTCTGAAGAGCTCCGAATGCTATGTGAGGTAAGACTTCCCTTTAGCAAAGCCACGTTGCCTCCTTCCAGACACATCATCCTTCTTTAGGGGTCTAGCATCACCCTTATTTAGGTGACCACATACAGGTGTCTGCTCCAATCCTCTTGTTTACCTCAGCAGGTGCTACCCATCTGCACTGCACCTGCTATGTGGTGCCTCAAGCTATTCCCAGCCCCCCCCTCAAGGATTTAACTCTCCTAACTGCTCCTAAAGTTTTGCTGAACAATATCAACTCCAACACATAAAATCAGCTACTGCCATATGATGCTATGACCTCAGGAAAATCTTACAGGTGAGCTTGGGAATCCTGGTTTACCTTCATGAACATGCTGAATCCAGTTTTAAGGAGATCGGTGAGGCCTGATGACACGTGCTCAATATCAACAGGATCAGGTCGATCAGGATTACAGATCTCTTCCACTACCTGCTTCAGCAGAGGTTGGTAAGCAGCCTGCACAAAAAGAACAACACAGTATGAGTAAAGCTGTTTAGACTTGGTACAACTGCTCTTCTATACGTTTTATTATAGTTTTGTTATATTATTTATATAGTGACAGGACAAGGGGTAACGGGTTTAAATTGAAAGTGGGGAGGTTTAGATTGGATATCAGGAAGAAGTTCTTCCCGGAGAGGGTGGTGAGGCACTGGAACAGGTTGCCCAGAGAAGCTGTGGATGCCCCATCCCTGGAAGTGTCCAAGGCCAGGCTGGATGAGGCTTGGAGCAACCTGGTCTAGTGGAAGGTGTCCCTGCCCATGGCAGGGAGTTGGAACTAGATGGTCTTTAAGGTACTAGATAATCCCTTCCAACCCAAACCATTCTATGATTCTATGATTGTTTCCATTAAAGGTAACAAAAGTAATTATTCTAGAAGGGAAAACATTCAGAGAGTCAAAAAATTATCGAAACAGCAGTGGTCTTTGTGACCTTGGCTGCAAATGGTGTGCACCAGCACAGCATCAAACAGCAAAGATGGGAAGACAGACACACATTTACGCTGCCCCATGTGTATTGTATGAGTAAAGGGAGGCAAGGAAGAAAGGGAACTTCTGTTTTTTTCTGGAATCTTTTTGGAGGCAGTACAGAAAGGGATAGCAATAGGGATGACACTCTGTTGCTCATCACGCACCCCAGAAGATCAGCATCCTGGAAGATCCAAAGGATCCACCCTGCACCCTCTTTGGAATTCACAAAGCTGTGCTGAATAGGAATTAGTAGCCTAGAAATTTCCACATTCCCTGATCAAGGTTGAAACCACTCTGCCATCCCAAAAATGTTTCTAAGATAAAAATTGTAGGGACTTGTGGAAAGATGCTCTTTAAGGACAATTGGGCCTTACTTGGTTTACTGATGGAGTTCTGTTTTGCTGCTTTCAACTTTGCCCAAACTTCAACGGAACCACAATCGCTTCAGGAAACTTAAGAGTCTTAGAAAATTAGCAGCTTTCACATTAGCACATGTGTTTTCCTTTGGGACTATGCCAGGTGTACATCATCCCCTAGATTTCTTAAGGGAATCAAGTGTAACATCATTCATTTTGTAAAGATGATATCTACAGGAGACATCATGCAAGATAAACATAAAAATGGATGGAAAATAAAAAGCAAGCCGCTTGGCTCGAAACTAACATTTTCTGGAGTAATTAAAGAAATGTTTTTCATCCAACACTTCACAGTGAGAAACAAAACTTACGGTTTTTTAATACAATCCTGTCAACGAAGATTTATACAACTCATCTAGTTCTTCTCACAACACATGCATAATTTTTAATTGAGCCAACAAAGCCAATTACAGCAGACATGAGCTGCAGGATCTTTCGGGATAACATGCCAAGATTTCTGTCCAATCTAGTTACGCTATAAACAACTGTTTGAAAACACACATCCAGGCATGAAGTCCTATGTATAAAAATCTGTTCAATATCTTCCCAGATGAGGAACAGAAAGCCATTAAGAATGAAATAATTTTGGAGTAGAGGTCAAATCACAGTTAAACAGAGAGGCTTACTGCACAAAATTAAAGGCAAAGTATTATCTGACTTCAGACAAAACTATGTACTCAAAAGATGTTAAAAATGTGCTACGATTCTGCATGCCTAACTTTTCAGCCCCAAATCTCAGTGCCCTTCAAAATGATCCAATTCGCCTACACAGATACTAAAAGGCAGATACTATGATCACATACCCTTTTTTGCCTGTGATAGTTTCAAATATTTGCAAAAATCTTTTATCACCCCTAAAAGCTGCATTGATTTCTAACTCATATAATGCAATTTTCATCAACTTTAGATTGTGGCAGGGCACAAGCTGTGTTAAAATCCTCAGTGGCTATGGGGCAAGATCATAAGGAGAAGGGGGGAGAGAAAAAGGGAGAGAAAGAAAGAGAATGAGAAAAGGAGAGGGAGTGACGAAGGGAGGGAGGAATATACTTGATGTCAAGATGAAAGGACAAGAACTGTAGTTACAGTATAAGGCAAAATAAAGACTCTTCTTGCACGGTCACTACGCAAAGTGATTTGATACCCTGATGAAAACATTCATTCACTGTGCTAGGTAAGACATATAAACCTTAATGCTCCCAGAAGTCCTTCTAAGAGGCTATCCAATTCCTGCTTACCTGTAGAAACCTTTTTTGAGTTTTAACAAGAAATGGAGGCTTCCCAGCTCCTAACAGATAAAGCAGAAAAGCACCTATTCCCATAGCACTAAGATGGGCAGGGAATGCGTACGGCCATGGGAAGGGCACTACTTCTTCAGAGGAGCTAAATGAATCGCACACAACCCAGGTATTAATACCTGCCAGTCAAAAGAGAGGTCCATTTGCAGAGAGCTGTGTGTATGATGGAAAAAACCTCATGCTGCCTGCTTATTTCTGCAACTCTAAACCTCCTGAACTGCCTTCAGCAGAAGGTTGGTGCTGTTCAAGCAATTAAATCCATCGCATACCCGGATTAGGAGGCTACAAGGTGTTAATACATCCCTTGCTGCGTTCCAGCCCTTAGCCCTAAGCAAACAACCTGGGTTACATCCAAAGTACAAACTGATGCTAATTACAGTTCCAGTAAACTGTTGGAGGGTGTTTTCTTATCACCCAACTGCCCCTCCACACTGAACTGTATTAAACATTTAACAGTTTTCCCCATTTCAGACACCAGACTGGTCCTAAGTGCCAGGAGACTTCAATAACAGGTTTTCTCCACCTTAGCTTTCCAGCAACATTTTGCAACGCTCCTGAGTCCTGTTCTTACAAAGCAATGCTTAATTTGAACTACATCCCTTTGCTGGTCTACAGCACACTTCTGAGTTTGGAAGGATTTTTTCCTGGCTCAAGGCTAGAATCCAGTTTTACAGTCTCTTTCTAAATCAGTGTATGTGCTTTCCATTGTAAAACTCTATTTTTAACTGAAAAAGTTAAAACACTTTGGGGGAGACAGAGAGAGAAAAACCCTCACTGTATGGTAGTCCTGATGACCTACAGTAATATCATAGTTCATGTGCTCACATTTTAGAAACAAAAGCTGCATTTTCCACCTATTCACAAATAGGTGGGAGAGAGGTGGGAGAGAAAATACACAGGAATATGGCTGCTGTATGGATGCAGGCTCTTCTATGCCATGAGGTCTTAGTCCAGAACCGTCTTGACCTAGCCCTGCCTTTCATAGGCATCTACATCCCATCACAGTGCTGCAGAGCAAATCCCTAATTTCTTCCTCAGACCATTCTTCGCTGATGGATATGCCTGAGTTTGGATGAAGGACTCAAGGAAATTCTTGATGATTAGGTCAGTTATAAAATCTATACTTAAATATCTTCCACATGGGCAGAACACATATGGGATTAGCACATCAGCAAAATTAGTGCTGTAATTCTGACAGCGTGCTGGAGAAATAACATACGCAGGGAAAAGAAAGATCCACTTGCCTGGTGGGTGTTGCTGCCTGGATTATGTATGGAATTAAACTGTTTCATGTGCATTCGAGCTCTTGAAATATCCCTGAGGGACTGAAAGATATTGTCCACTGCATCCGAGGCTTTCTGAGATGTCAGGTTCAGCGATGAGATACAGCCTAAAGAAATAAAGAAACACGGAGCTGAGTGAGTGAAACGTTTTCAAGTGTTTTGATAATAAGCAGTAGGAAAAGGATAACTGGGAGGAAATTTTAAATTAGTTTCATCATGTTACATTCTAGAAAGTCAGGGACTTGTTAGACAGCATGTCCTCAGCATGGCAGGAGTCTCTAGTGAGGCAAGAGGGCATAAAACCCAGACAGCAAGGAAAGTGAACAGCACCTCTCAACCACTTTTGTGACCTCAGTCATATCCAAATGCATTCCCTACCTTTGCGACAAGGAACATGGGAAGAGTCTGGGCTAAATACAGAGCAAATGATAGCTACACATTGGAAAGGCCTGTATTACAGTAAAAAGAGTTGTATTACCATAAAAAGAGTCCTTATCCCTCGGAGTGGCACAGTTATTACATTTAATGTATTTTTCCAAACCATTTCTGCTAAGATATAACGCTTATCTTCCACTGAGGCCAAACTCCATTTAGAGGACCACATAAAAGGTCCCTTCAGGTGGCCAGGCAATGCCTCAGCAAAGAGAAATTCCCAGCCTTGGCTCCATCCCCCTCACCACAGGACCTATATTGCACGAAAATGTTGAAAAAAGATGCTTTCTCAGCTGACCTGCTGCCGAGAATCAGCCAAGTGAGAAATAACTGGGTCACCTGGTATTTGCATTGCCCTGTCAGCACAGCTCTGCATCTTTTGACATCTCTGCCCGCCTCTCTTTTGGCTCGAATTCTCAGAAGACCCATCACAAAACATCCCTTCTTGCCACACGCACAAACACACACTCCTTCCTGCTCAACCCCAGTGTCTTTGCCGGGGGACGCTGCTGTGGTGGTCCGTGTGCCCGTCCCTCGGTCCCACAACGGGTGCTGCTTCGGCGAACCTCTATGTCTGGGCAGAATCCTGTTAGAGGATGGGGTCTCCCTGCGGGTCCCAGATCTGGCTTATGTCCTGCTGCCCCGGCGGAGCCTGGCACTGAAAGCACACACCAAAATGCGTTGTGAAGGAGCCCGGATTTTTGGGTGGAGGGATTCTGATCAAACTTTCCTCCACAACCGATGGAGGACAGAATCGTTATGCAGTAAAGAAACCACAGAAAAAGGTGGTACTTTCAAAATGTATAGGGAATTTGTAACAGCTAATCTGGGCCACTCACACCTCTGCATTCCATACAGCAGAATATGTATATAATACATATCCACAAGCACTTACAGAGATCTGAAACTACTCCTACAGGCAGTGATTAGACACTGAGCTTTCATTTGTCTGAATGTTATCTCTTGAAAGGCTCCAAGGCGGATCCCCAGCTGGTGCAGCAGAACAGGCAGAAGGACTGTACTTCTGCAGGGCTACGTCAAAAGAAGCTGCCGAGGATTTATGCCCTTATAACCCTCAAAGCAATGGAGCGAACACGGACTGGGCCTTGGTCACTCCCGTGTTGGAATTCTAAGGCAGACACATATATTTTTGGACAGAGCTCTTGAAATTATTATTATGATTTTTTAATTGAGTGCAAAGTAACTTACAGAAACATTTCTGTTGTTATGTATGTGCAAGATCTGCGTGCTGTGATTCACCAAAGCTTATTTTGGTTTTCCCTTAGCCGAGGAGCCTGTGTGTGTTCAGCAAAAGCCCTGAATGCCAAACCCAGTCTGCAGCTCGTTACCCTGCTCCACTGGTGCTCTTGAAATCAGAGAGGTGGTTCCTACAAGCGATCTTGTGCTGGTTTACGTGCAAGGGAATGGGGTCCAACGGCTGAAAAAAGTTTAACTGAGCAACCCCTGGACAGATGAGGTTGATAAATCAAGTCTGAGGAGATTAAATCCTGGTTTATATTTATCACTAGCACAGGCAAAACACTTAGAGGAGATCTTGTATTGTTGGTGTGCTCTTACCCTGCTCATGGGAAAACACAGGAATGAGAGAACGGGGCAGAATGTTAGCTCTCAACTCCAAGGCTGCACATATTTAATAATTAACATTTATAAAGCAAATGAAGAGCCATATCTCATTATTGTATTATCTTCTCTCCACGAGACAAGCTTTCTCTGTTTCAGCCACATTAGAGATAAGCAGCTCCTAGCTAATCATAGAATGGTTTGGGTTGGAAGGGATTTTAAAGATCATCTAGTTTCAACAATGTAAGTAGTAACGTAAGGAGTTATATTTTCTTTGTCCTCTCTTTAATGTTTTATCAGCAAAAGCCATTGCTTTTGGCCAAGCCACCTCTGGAATGTTTCCTTTTGCTAGCAAACGCAAGTTCCCCACAATGAACAAGTTCAGGCAAGGTAAAAATCACATCAAGTTTACTTCGCTTTGCACACTCTTCTCTGTTTGTTAATTGTTTATTTTCTTGGACCATTTAAAAGCCTTATTTTTTGGCCCTAGAGTTATTTCTCTCATGAAAATAAATATTTGTTTCCTTCTTCTGTTGGCATCACTTCTCATTCTCTCTCTTTTTATTTTAACAATAGCCTTTTGACCAAGAAGTTTCAAACCAGCTTGTCACTTCCCTCTTCTGGAGCTGCAGGGCAGGTTCCAGTGGACATGGTCTGGCTTTGTGGCTGGAAGCCCCTGTGATGCTCCTCACCTTGCCTGCAGACCAGAAGGTATCTGCAGGAGCACTGGAGCAGGGGATCAATGCGTGCTTCCAGCCTCCATAGCAGAGCGTGGTGCTGGACCCAGTTTAGAGCAGGGAGGGCACTGGCAGTCGAAGCTCTGGTCCGGTGCCAGTTTAGGGCTGACAGAGGAAGGGGTGAGAGCCGTACTTTCAAAGGTTTCTCTACAATGTGGCTTCCTTGGAACTTCTGATCAAGAAATATATGCCTGGGGAAGCTACGGTGCTCTTTTTCCAGCCTGACATCTTTTTAAAAATATATTAAAAAATAAGTTTTCTTTGCTGTCTTATTGTTGAGATTAATAGCAGAAATCTCAGGTTGTCTGAGGGCTGCTGCCTACCCGTCACACTGCACTGGGTTCCAAGAGGGGAGCCGGGTGTCTCTCCAGCCTGGAGAACAACAGAAGCTTGTGTTGTACAAATGGCAGGTGGCTACAAATCACCTCCCATTCACACCTTCCCCGTGAATGGGGCTGTGTGCGCATATGGGGAGCAGAACACAATCCCTCTTCTCTGCCCGCTTCATGCTACCAAGAAATCTGCTCCTTTGACAACAATGAAGAGGTGGAATACATTAGCTGCTGCACAGCTCATGTGCTAATTAAAACAACTCTTCCTGTTACTGTTTTTGCCAGGGGAAGTTAAATGGCATTAGGAGAACATGCTGAATGAATTCCTTTGAATCCCAAACCCTGTTATATATGGGAAAAGGCATTTAAATGAAACTTGGGGATATTGCTTTCCTCAACTTGAAGAAGCCCAGTTGTGGAAAAGAGAAAATGACCATTAACCAGCATAGGACTAAAGATTTTAAATCACATATCCAAGACCTTGATGATATCCCAAGAAGTGCACAACCCGGTTCTACAGCAAGCGGAGCCTGACCTCACCGACACTGCTTCTGGTCTGCTTCCATCCACTTGTGCTGAACTTGAGTGGAGTCAAAATGTCAGGAGCTGCATCCAGCACCAAACAGGATGAGACTGCTGACCCTTACTTTTGACCCACTTTTGAACTTTTCCACCACAGAGAACACATCTCCTCTTAAGCTATGCATCTGCACAACCATTAGGATCAGAACTAATTCATTTTCACAAGAAGCTTGAACAGGAGAACGGAGATTTTCTTCTCTACAGTTTGGGGTGACCCAGAAACCAAACTAGAAAATTTTTCCTACTGATTTCTGACATTGGAAGGAAGAAACTTTAAGAAAAGGACACAGATGCTGTGAACCTATGAGATGCATAATTATACAGTGGCACGTGATTGATTATTCCCTTCCTAAATGCAGTAAATGAGAATTTCAGACCTGCATATCAGGTCTTTCACTGTTCTTTGTCTTTTTTGGTATGTGGTCCAGGCATTATGAACAAACCTGGTTTTTCTCTAAAGGAGTATGATAATTATGAAAACTTCGTGAAGGTCTTTTGATACTTCCAAGACATCACTGAAAGACTATGATTCTTACAAAGTTAAAAAAGTAGGAAAGCTGAAAGTTTACCACTTTACTCTGTTTTATTTCCATTAACTTAGGCTCTCTGTATAGCCCATTTGCAGAACCCCCCCTGATATAATCCCTGCAAACACTGGAATGCAGCTGGCAGAGTAGCCAAGCCATTTTACAAGGACACACTGAAGCACAGGCTAAACCAGAAAACCGGTGCTTCGAAGAAGAGAGAATTCAGCATCAGGATTGCATTATGCAAGCTATTTTCTAGATATGCAGAGTTAATTTGCTTGTCAGCGAAAGACAGAGAAAGAACAGAGATATACGGTGCCTTGAGGGTCAGAACTCAAAATACAGCACTATGATATTAAACTAATGAAAATCTTCTATTTTTCTATTTTTAAATGATAGCATAGCAATAGGGACCTACTTTCTCAGCAGAAATGTGGAGGTATATATCTGTAGACCCACAGCCATATGTTTTATGATAGTTATGATATATTCATGCATTAAGATTGTTATGAAAAAGTGGGTACGAATGCATATGGTTACACAGACCACGGCTGTGTTTTGCTCTCTGCTGCATCTAAACGTGAAGCTGGTAAGCAAAGTGTGACACTGTGGGACAAGGAAGGACAGGCCAGAATATGACACATCTGTCACTGCCCAACAGCAGCATCAGCAGAAGGTAAAAGATCAGAATTCTGGTTGGAGAATTATGGAAGCGAGGTGTGTACCCTCACCCTAAAGAGTGTCTAGAGGAGACAGACACAGTGGTGCCTGTGACAGCTTCCTCGTGGGACATGGAATATGTCTACCCCTGGACCCTGCCCTGTGCTCACTCGGACCCCTTCTTGCGATGGCCCCTTGTCCCAGTCATGCCCTTCATTGCATCTGGGAGGCTGAACTCAGCTTGGACCACTCTGCT